AAAACAGCTCTGAGATACTATCTTATACCTGTCAGAATGGCTAAGATTAAAAAAAAAACACTGATGACAGCCTATGCTGGAAAGGATGTGGAGTAAGGGAAACACTCCTCCATTGCTGATGAGAGTGCAAACTTGTACAGCCACTTTGGAAATCAGTATGGCAGTTTCTTAGAAAATTGGGAATCAGTCTACTTCATGATCCAACAATATCACTCTTAGGCATATACCTAAATGATGCACATTCATGCCACAAGGACATTTGTTCAGCTATGTTCATAGCAGCATCATTCATAATAGCCCGAACCTGGAAACAACCTAGATGCCCCTCAACCAAAGAATGGATAAAGAAAATGTGGTTCATTTACACAATGGAGTATTACTCAGCAGTAAAAAACAATGACATCATGAAATTTTCAGTCAAATGGATAGAACTAGAAAAAAAAAAAATCCTGAGTGAGGTAACCCAAACCCAGAAAGACAAACACAGTATGTAACCACTCATAAGCGGATATTAGACATAAAGCAAAGGATAACCAGGCTACAATCCACAACCCCAGAGAAGCTAGGTAACAAGGAGGATCCTAAGAGAGACATGCATGGATCCCCCTAGGAAGGGGAAATAGATATAAGATCTTCTGAGTAAATTGGGAGTGTAGGGGAGGAGGGGGGAGGGGATAAGGAGAGGTGGAAAGAGAACATGAGAGAACAGGATGGTTGAGTTGGGGGAGGGACATTGAGGGAGAGCAAGGAAAGAGATATCTTGATAGAGGGAGCCATTATGAGGTTAGGGAGAAACCTAATTTTAGGGAAATTCCTGGGAATCCACAAGCTAAGATTCCAAGCAATAGTGGAGAGGGTGCCTGAACCAGCCTTCCCCTGTAATCAGATTGATGACTACCCTAATTGTCATCATAGAACCTTCATCTGACAGAAGCAGATACAGAGATCCACAGCTAAGCACTGGGTGGAGCTCCTGGAGTCTAGTTGAAGAGAGGGAGGAGGGATTACATAATCAAAGGGGTCAAGGTCACAATGAGGAAGCCCACAGAGACAGCTGACTCTAGCTAGTGGGAGCTCACTGACTCTGGACTGACTCCTGGGGAACCTGACTGGGACCGAACTAAGCCCTCTGAATGTGGGTGACAGTTGTGTGGCTTGGGCAGTTTGTAGAGCCCCTGGCAGTGGGACCAAAATTTATCCCAAAATTTATGAACTGGCTTTTTTGAGCCCATTCCTTGTGGAGGTATACCTTGATATGGGTGGTGGGGAGAAGGGGCTTGGTCCTGCCTCAACTTGATATGCCTGACTTTATGATTCCCCATAGGAGGCCTTACCCTCTCTGAGGAGTGGATAGGGTGTGGGGTTGAGGGAAGGTGAGGGGTGAGCAGGAGGAGGGGAGAGAGGGGGAACTGTGGTTGGTACGTCAAATGAAAAAATAAAACTTTTAAATAAAAATAAATAAATAAGTGAAAGTTTCCAGAACATAATTAAGGGAGGATGGGATGTTGTCCTTCAGGGTATAAAATATGAAAGAGCAACCTCTCACTGCCTACTCTTGACTACTATGACCTACACTTTTCTGAAGTATTTCTCCTATCAAGTCTCTTGGCATCTTCTCTGCAAAACACCTTAATTCACATAAATGAACACTGAGAGTGTATGGCTGTAGATGAATGCATACTCTATGATCTCATCTCCATAAAAATTTAAAACATATAAAGCGAAACAGTACATATTTGAGGGATAGTCATATACGTAGTAATAGTATAATGATGTGCAAAGGAATGATGGCCACCAAAGGGTGACAGTTACAGATGCCAGAAGTGGGGAAAGGAGATGGGAAAGAAGATAGACAAGTGAGGCTTCCAAAGGTCTGTTTCTTCAGCTAGGCGATGAGACCTTGGACTTATTTGTTGTAAGTAAACCTTCACACTCACTCAATGCTTATTTTGAACCACAGGGGCAAAAAGTGTGTTCTGAAGAGATTTCCTGAATGTTCTAGAAAGAATAGAAACACCACAACAATAACAATCATTTATTGTTTGCCACAACCTTTTTCCTTCATTAAAATCTTACAACTTTGTTAAAACCATAAATAAATCAAAATAAAATAAAATGTTATTTAAAGGGTAGATCTGTATCAAATAGTGTAAATACAATAGACCTGTCTCATACAGTAATCTTACTAATCTTTTTCTTCTAGATAACTTTCTTGCTGGAATAAAGAATTGCCTTATCTTGTCTTTTTTTTTTTTTTCAACTTCTATTGATTCTTTGTGGATTTCACATCATGCATTCTGATCCCACTTATTTCCCTGTCCCCTCGAATCTGCCCTCTGCCCTTGCAACCTGCCCTCAAAATCAAAACCAAATTTAAAAGAAAAACCAAAACCCAAACCAAACAAACAACAAAACAGAACAGCAAAACATAAGTAGGAGAATCTTGTTGTGGAAGCTGTAGCGTGATGGGTGAGTCACACAGTTTACCCTTTACGCTTGCAAGTGTTCATTGCTGAGTCATTGGTCTGGCTCAAGGCCCCTAGTTTCTGCTACACCACTGATAACGGGCTCTCACTGGGCTCCTCTTGGATATCCTGTTGTCGTCCTGTGTGGTGGAGATCCTGCTGTTTTGGATCTATAGGTCTGTCCCCTTCACATGCTCCAACAGTTCATAGATGAGGTGGATGTTGGGGTGGGCCAACAGAGCCCTGGTTCTGGACCTGGATGGTAGCTGGATTGGTCAGCTCCATAGCTTTCCTCGTTTTCACTACCTAGGCGAGCTCTCCAGCACTGCCTTGCCTAGCTCACCCAATGCAGCCTGCAGCAAGGAATAGGACCAGTTCTGCTCTCAGGTCCTCAGATCTGGGTCACCCACACTCACATCACCAGGGCCAGCTTTACTCTTTGCCTAGGCAAGGTGCAAGGTCCTCTCTTCCGATTGCTGTAGGAAACACAGGAGAGGATGGGATGGGTCTGCTCTCCGGTCCTCACACCCTCAGGGCTGTTTCACCTGCTCTAGTGTGCTGCCCAGGTGCGGTTGCAGGCCCCCCCCCCCTGCTCTCCTGTGTGCTGCAGCTGGTGAGGGGCAGGGCTAGTACTCTTGCTCTTGTGACCCTGGTGCCAACTTTCTCACCTGACACAGGTAGCAAAGGGTGGAGGGGGGAGACCATCTTTCCCTCATCACTGCCACCGCATGGCAGACAGGAGGGAGGCAGGGTCACTTCATCCCTAACATCAGGGTCAGCTCTAGTGTGCTCCTCTGGCCTTCTTTAGCCTCCCTGTTTCTCTGCTTTGTCTCTCTCTGTCTGTCTGTCTTCCTCCTTTTTTTCGTCATATTTTCTTTTTTTTCACCCAGATCTGGCCTCATACTCAATATCCTCCTGCCTCAACTTTCTGAGTACTAAGGTTATAGGCATGCACTGCCATGCAAAATTTTTGCATAGAGTTCATTATTCCCCCACAAATTTTCCCCACCATCAAAATCTCTTAATTCATTTACACATACTGAGCTCTCTGTCTACACGGCTTGCTTATTGCTGCTGAGCCTGTAACAGCTCCACTCTGCCTGGTTATCTTCTTTCTTTACCATTATCAGGCAGACTCACCTCCCTGTTCTCTGGTGAAGATACCCTACATTAAGGAGGCCACATTTTCTCTTGTTTGGAGAGACACATTCTTTAGCAGTTTTTCAAGCAAAACATATGGAAACAAATTACTTTTAAGCATTTAAAATGTATTTATTGCACTGTGTGTGTGTATGTGTGTGTGTGCGCGCGCGCGCGCGCGCGTGCACCATGGCATATGTATGAAGGTCAGAGGACAACTTTTGTGGATCAGTCTTTACTTCCACTGTCCCACTGTGGGTTCCAGAGATGGAACTTGGGTCATCAGGTTTGGACAGCAACAATTTTACCCACTATGCTCTCTTGCCATTTTAAGATAACTTGATTTCTACAGAAGCACACATATAGTCCTAACTATAATTAATCTGACTATATCTACATGGAAAATTACACTGAGAAGATCCAGGAAAGCATTAGTCAATCAGTAAATCCTAGGGAACATATTGCAATGTCTAAGAAGAGATTTTAATTTACTGGGTGTGGGGTTTCTGAAGGTTTAGTACATGCCCCTGGTAATGCTGATGCTGTTTTGAGAAATGCTATGAAATAAATACATTCCAATCCTTCTGTCATTACATAATCATATTTGGGTGGCCAGAGGTATTGCATCAGGGTGAGTCATCTGCTGATACCTTGCAAGGTAAGGCCAGCCTTAAGGAGGGGAGTGAGGGGGACCTGAGTTTGCCATATATTATGCAACAGTTTCTGCCAACATTGAAACATTCTATCCTCCAGGCAAGCTCCTTAAGCAGGAAAGTAAACAACTCAAAATAGCTTCAGGAAGTCCTTGAAACTGACCAGATTCACTAGGCCCCTCCCTGCCAGAGTAAACAGAAAAGCTGAAGAGTTCTCTTTAGAGGAGCTGAGCTGCTAAGAAGCCCAAGACCAGACCACCTGTGTGAAAGAGCAGAAACCAGCGGAGCCGGCTGGAAGAGGTTTAAGATCAACTGAGGCACCTGGAAAGGACACTCTTCAACTTGCTGGGCCACCTGCAGGCTGTGCAGGGGGCTCCAGGCTTCCCAGCTTTTGTTCATTGTCCCTCATGCTGGGGTGGGTTTTGGTGATGCAGCTGTCTCTCAGTCATTTCTGCTCCTGTAAGTAACCCCTCACCCATAACTCCATAAGTAACCCCAATAAAACTCACTGATTTACCAAGTTGGACTTTGGTGGTATCTGTACTTTGGTCTGTCATGGGATCCCTCTCTGAGATGAGGAGATGTGTGTGTGTATGTGTGTGTGTGTGTGTGTCTCCCCAGAAAGTTCTGTTACATACATCATGCCATCATGAAATAACTAAGGTAACACCATCCTATCCCAACATTATTTTGTGCCTGCCTGGTCACTTCTCAGTCTTCCACTCCCAACAACCACATTCACCTTGGCAATACTTCTGGGACAGTCCATCTATGGCCTTGACCATGGTCCAAACATACTGTGTAGTGTTTGGAAGATACTGCTGAGCCTTGTAAAGAAAGCAGATGTCACTAGGCAACTCCCAATCCCTCACTAATGTAACACCTCCCCCCAGCACTGATGTAACTATGGTTTTATCTTTTAAAATGCTGTACCCTTGAGCTTGGGCAACAAGAGACTTTGCAGAGATGTGAGTCCACCCATTGTCTGGCCATTCATAAAGAACTCAAAACCTTTAATTGGCTTCATCAGCATGGTTGTCATTAACTATCTCATGTGGGTTATTCCAGTCAAATCAAGGGTGTTTCTCTTGATTTCTTGCACTGTGCTTCATAATGACTCAACTCCAGCAGACAGACATTTAAAGTCTCCAGACCAAGAATGTCATTTACAGTTATAGTAGTCAATGTCAGTGCCGTCCGCAGCATTTCTTGTCCACTCCACATGCCTTCCTGTCCTCATTCATAAAATAAAAAGGCAGGAGGAAATGATGCCATTTAAAAATTTATCCATGGACTGAAGAGCATGTACAGCTCTGGCAGAGGACCTGAGTTAGTTCCCCAGTACCAGTATCAGGCAGCTCACAACCTCCTGTAATGCCCAACTCCAGGGAGTTCAACAGCCTCATCTGGCCTCCACAAATACCTGTATTCACGCACACACACACACACACACACACACACACACACACACACACACACACACTTAAAAATAATCAAATAAATTATTCAAATCCTAAAAACAGGCAAAAAGATCATCCTAGGCCACTGTGTAGCAGGCTTTCCTAGTCTCACAGTTGGTAGCTACAATTCCGCGTGACTCAGTGCTTACTCCCATGTGTCCCTGGGTGCCTGGGAGCGAGCTGTAGGGGAAAAAAGAACTGAAAAAGAGGAGGTGCCTTACAGAGACAGGACTAGGGTGGGATACTAATGCTGTTAACCACAGATGTGCATTATAATGCAAAGAATATTAAAACATTTATGGAAGTCTAAAATAATAAAAGTTAGTGTTTTATTGACCTGTACTATTACTCATATACATTGTTCTCAGTATTCATCTCCATCAGGATGATTCAGGAAATGGTTGTTCAAGCCAAGTTAATTGATCTAGCTATTTATGAGTCACCAGGAAGCATTCTCACTCTTCAAGGAGCAACCACTGTACCCCAACATAGTTTGCATAGCTCTAGTCATTTTTAAAAATGTTCATTCACCCAGGAACCTAAACCCTTTCCTAGTGGGTCCAGCTCCACACAGAGGTCAGTTGCTAAAGGATCAAAGCAACTGGATGTTGCAGTGAATGTTATTGTGAAGTTTCTGCTATCCAAATGCAAGGATTTGATATTATAAGAGTGTGAAAATGGGGTATGAATTAGTCCAAAGGCTTGGAAACAAGGATATCACCACTCATAGGGCATTCCAGGTTTTATACACTGTGGCACGATTTCTCAGGCATGATGCCTTGTGGGTTGGACCACTTCAGCCTCAGAGGACAGCCTTTCACCGCTCCCATCCCACCTATTTTGGAGTACACATTCTGCTTTATCGCTCCTTCATCTATGAAATGAGGTAATGCTGGTCCTGCTCACCTCTCAGTATGAAAACACCACAGATCAAATAAAAAATTTAAGACAATGATTTCTAACCAACCCTCTACCTCTATGCTGAGTTTAAGGCCCTAAAACTAAATTGAAGTTAATGTTGTGATATTTCCCCTGTTCTGATGTGAGGAAGATGGGCTGGCCATTCTTGGAGGAGGCGATGAAACTGCCAGGGAAAGCCACGGACTCAAAGGTGGATGTTGTTCCGGTCTGGGTGTGGTAAAACAGAAAGGGTTTCACGGGCTCAGGATTGTTGTACAGATCCAAAATGTTCTCCTCCTGCATGTGAGAGAGAACACTCATGAGCAAAACCAGAAGTGGCTTCTGATAGGAAACGTTATTTTTACACAACCAATAAATATTCCAGAGTTCAAGGAAGCCTCTCTTAGAACAGGACAAGAAAAGGACATTTAAGGGCTTAGGAATTTAGTTCAGTGGTAGAGTATGCCTAGCAAGTGCAAGGCCCTGGGTTCAATTTCCACTACCGTCCCCCCCCCCGAAAAAAAATAAATGAAAAAGAAAGAAAAGAAGCTGAAAGAAAAGGGAGGGGAAGGGAGGGGAGGGGAGGAGGCAGGGAAAGGAGGGGAGGGGAGGGAAGGAGGCAGGCAAGCAGGCAGGCTTCAAATCTCACTGCCTATCACTCTCTCTGTCCTGGTTTTTTCCTTCACTAGCAAACACCCTCTACATTTAGCATTTTTACCCACTCACCACCAACACGTGTCAGACTTGCTCACTACTGTCCTACGTTCTGCTCAGCAGAGCTTTGCTGACTCGTCCAACAGTGAAGACCTGCCTTCTTATTTCTCACTCACCACCCCCTTCCATCATCTTCACTCTCTGTTTCCAGCTCCCCGAGGAAGCTGAAGTGACTGGATGAGAACGTCTCCCAACTACCCACGGACCAGGCACATCTCATCGATACCTGTGCCTCCCTACCTGAAAAGGACTAGACAACGGCTTCTCTTCACTCATTCATCTAAGGACATTCTTCTAGCCATCCTGCCTGCTCTCTCCTGCAGCATCCATTTTTGCTTTCTTTGCTCAGTCATTCTTATCTGTGCATTTACTTTCATCTTAAAAAAACATAGGTATGTCACTAAATGATGAACACACCCCGAGAGAGTAATCATTGGTGATTTCACTACTGAGTCAACGTTGCAAATGTACTTACACAATCTAAAGCAGTTACAATGTCATTGGATGACATGGCCTTAGGAGACCACTGTTTATGAAGTCCATTGTTGGCCGAAACACTGTCATGTGTCACATCACTGTATTTTAATGACCAAACACCTCTGTCAGCTCTTGCTTTACAGCAAAACCTTTGCAATAGCTGCCAATATTTGCTGTCTGATTTACCTTTTCAAACTCACTCCATGTAAGCGAGATTTAACCCCCAACATTATCTCATTAAGATCCCCTCAAATCTATACCTTATCAATGACCAATTTCTGAGGCCAAAAGTCCAACAGAAGAGTGACTTAGCAAAGACAGGACCAAGCTCAGAATGTAATCACATTATTCTGTCCATGATCTTGTTGATGACAAACTAGTTTCAGAATCTATCCCTACCCACTCCACTGCCATCCCAGAGCCATCAACTCACACCTAGGTCACCATAAAGCCTCCCAAGTCCTTCCACCCTTCCCCTGCAATGTCTGATCAACCTGAAGTCAGAGAGACCCATTTTAGACCTAAGGTATTTGGGGTCACTCTGTTCAAAGCATCCCAGGTTTCTCCTTTCACTTGGGTGGAGTGACTAAGTCCTGGCTGAGATCTGGTCTCAGTTCACTGCTGCACATCTGTCTTCACTGGCTCACCCTCACCTGCTGACTAACTTCTCCGTCTCCTGTTCTCTCCTAGAATTCCTCCTACACAAAGACGCTTGACACCTGCCATGCAATTTACTCTTGGGCCTGACTCCACTCCTGTTTCTGCTACTCCCAGGCTCTGCCCTGATCTGATTGGCTGATTGTTGTTTTTTTTTTTCTTTTCTGAACTTGTTTTGTTTTGCCTTGCTTTGTTTCCTAGGACATGTGATACTTTTTGGCATATCACAAATGTACTACTATATTTATCATTTGCATGTCTCTCCTCCTTCTAAAATCCAGGCTGTACAAAGCTCAGGGCTCTTTGCCATTCTGTTCAAAGATATCCCATGTACTCATATGGTGCAATTAAGCTCCTGCACATTTTGCTAAGTTAAACTGGATAGACTTGAATTAAGCTAATTAAAGTGAAGTTTGTATAAACTTACGTACAAATGAAATTATATTTATGTGTATACATTTCTATGTGTATACATATTCACAACCACTTTGAGAGCTTAGGAATTGGAATAGCAAAGAAAAGGTTAAGGAAGGGTCTTTTAGAAGGTAAGACAAGACAAAAGCATACTTACAAACTGGGCTAGTGTACCAAGAAATTCTCTTAGAATGCAAGGCTAATAAATAAATAACTAAACAGTGGAAGGACAGAAAGCATGGTCGTTACGTAGGATAGTATAAAATACCAAGGTGAGGCCTCTGACTGGTGACTAGGAGTTCTAAAATGACATATAGGAGAATGAGGGAGAGGACACACATGAAGCCACAGTGACTGAGGATGTCTTAAAACTAGGAGAGATCAAAATCCTCAACTAAAGAAGGACAAGATAAATTAATGTCTCTTACGTATCTCTTTTAATTTTACTCTGGGGGAGAAAGAGTTTATTTGGCTTATAAAACCAAGCTAATGTCCATCACTTTTGGTAAGTTAAGGCAGGACCTTGAGGCATCTGGTTACATCACATCCAAGAGCATGCCTACTAGCATGTAAAGCATTAGGTTACATGTGACATTTTTTTTAAAGCAAAGCATGTTTTAGTAGGTTCTCAACACTCCATCTCCCTCCTTTTCCCTAACATCTAACTCTCTGCCAGTCTCCCTTCTGTTACGGGTCACACATGTCTTTTTTACCACTCCGTTGCCACCCCCTACCTGCCCCACCTGCCTTAACTTAGATATCAAGCCATGAACTTACTTGTATGTAAGTTCATGGCTAGATATTTCCATCCATCTACAGTTCAGGACCCCCTGTCTGGGGAGTGGTACTGTCCACAGTGGGCTTGGTCTTCCCACATCAATTGACTTAATTAAGGTAATCTTCTACAGAACATGTCTATATTTTAAAAGGGGCTAAAAATAAACATGCTTAGGAAAATAAAATTCTTTGTTAATTCTAAAATTTGATCTCTTGCCAAATAAACCATGCTAGGATACATGGGCTTTTCTTAAAGACCAGAAAAGCAGCCAAGAGAGTGGGGTGGGGGTGGGGCGGGTAGGGGGTGGCAATGGAGTGGGAAAAAGGACATGTGTGACCCGTAACAGAAGGGAGACTGGCGGAGAGTTAGATGTTAGGGAAAAGGA